TCTCTTTGGGTGGAAACATTCTCATGCTGCAAAGCCACAGCCTCAGCAGCAAAGGAATTACTCCTAGAAACTATGTTCCCCACTTAGGGAATCCCTTCAGAGCTCCCCAGTGACCAGGGAACTCATTTCCACAGGACAAGTTATACGATCTGTCTGTAAGATCTGGCCGACTTCACATTCCTGTTGTGTTTATCATCCCCAGTTCTCTGATCTTGTAGAACAGACTAAAGAGTAATCAAAACTTAATTGGCAAAACTCATAGGGTCCTTTACTCTGCCTTGGTCTAAGGCTCTCCCCTTGGTATTGCTCAACCTATGATCCTCTCCCTTTGGCAAGCCTTGTTTGTCTCCTTTTGAAATTATTACTTGGAGACCCATGAGATTAGATCAAAGAATGTATGAATCTGCATTGCTGAAGGAGACCTCGTGTCCTATCTAAAAAAAGGATAATATGCAAATTGACTTTCAGTCTAACCCACAAGATGGCCAGCAGGGGAGGGCAGTTGTGGGCGATCAGGCCTGAACCAGACTAGTGGCTTGGCCATTGAACCTTGAAAGCTTACAAAACCTAACTGGACATAACTCCAAATTTAAAGTCATTTTTTACTCTCAAACCTCAAAAAATATTGATGGAACAAACGACCTTCCTGAGTCCAGATCCATTCATAAGCTCCGCCAACCCACAAAGAAATACCCATATATGCAGTCTGGACTCTTACCAATAACTTGCCTATCTGTTTTTAAAATATAAACAGTTCAGGCATACTTTCAGGTTTTGTCCCTTTAAAAATGTATGACTACACTCTTGTATGATGCAAACGACCATGAGTTCACAACTCAATGGGCTTTAAGTGACTATAATATTACTTTTCAGTCTTTTTCCCCCCTCAGAACACATTGGGCTTCTACTTAAATCTGTGACTTAAGATTTGAAATTCCTAAGGTCTCCAAATAAATCTTTTGTTTGCCTTCCAGTTCTTGGCAAAATTGATGAACACTGTAAAAATAAAGATATCAAAATAAATCAATAGGTGATATGGTATGTTGGGAAGTGGTAGTATTATGGAGAAAAGAGAACAAAGAGGGGGAAGAAGGGAAAACTAAGAGGGAGGATAGGGAGCTGTGATTTCAAACAGAGTGGTTAGGAAAATCCAGTGAGAAGTCATTTAGCAGAGTTTAACCCTGGTGAGAAAAGAGTCATATGGCCATTTGGGGGGAAATCATTCCAACAAGTGCAAAGACCTTGACTTTCCTTTCCTTATTAGTTCTTATTTTGCCCATTTCCTCTTCTCAGGTAATTTGGTAATGATGGAAGTGAAAAATAACTTTGAAGTCCTGATTAATTTAACAATGTTGACCTGTTGTTTTCCTGGCCTTTGTCGCCATCCTCTTTAGCTCAGGATGAGTTTCTTTACCCACAGGTCCTGAGAGAGAAACCCTGGATGAGAACAGTGTTGAAGACTAGCAATTATCTCATCTCTAACTGGGTTGAGATAGAGAGAAAGGGCTGGGAAATCAACTAAGAAAAGAGATCCAATTTCAGTGTTTCCCTTTATAAAAGTCCTGTTTTTTACAAAGTTCAGCATATGAAGGAAGGCTCTCAGGACTCTATTCAATGCCAGAGACAATAGAAAAAAAACACACAAAAACACAACAAAAAACCTCAAAAAACAAAACAAAATCTATACATGTAAAAGGCTAATATGCTGTGCCCTTCCCTCTGAGTAATGATGTCACATAGCAACACCCGGCTTCCTCTCCCTAGCAACGACTAGCTGCTTGCAGTTTCTTCAGCCCAGGAACACGACTTGCTTTATAGCCAGGTGGGAACACTTTACACTGTAATCAAATGTCTGTGACGTGTTTTCCCGTGCCTCATTTGATCCTCACAGAAGTCATGGAGTAGGTAGATAGGAGACTTGGTTGAATCCTATTTTCTTTTCATTAGCTGGAAAATGGAGATTTTAGAAAACTTAGAAACTTGACCCATCTGAAAAGAAGAAATGGTGGACCTTGAAAATGATTTCAGGTTTTCTCACTGCACAGAACATAGTCAAACACTGCTACAGTTAAATATTTTAACCTTTGTTCTCCCTGGGTGATCTACAATAATAATCTGCTTCATGTTGATATTTACTACTGTGTTGCTGACAATTACCTGAAAGAGAAATTGGGATGCTTCACTGGGCTGGAAAAAGTTTAGCTACATCAGAAAGCAGGTCTAATTAAGCAAGTATATTCTATGTCTATAAAAGGCTAAGTTGACTCGTGCATGCACAATACATAAAAGCTCTCATTGGTGCCCATTGCACATGTGTGTTTCCATCTTTCATTGCCTATCAGTGAATTTGGTTGACACTTCTATTATAGAGAAAGGGCAAATAGCGACATTAAAATATTTCTTCTAATTAATTTCCTTTCAATGTGCATGAATTTGTGCACTGGGCCACTAGTTATAAATAAATAATCCCATTCTATTTCATACATTTTAAAATTAAATAGATAATATAGAGGTTGATACAATTTAACATAAAATAACATTTCTATTATAATTAAAAAAAATACATCTTAAAAGATTTCAGAAAGGAAGGGAGAGGGACAGAGGTAGAAACATCAATGATGAAAGAGATTGGTTGCCTCCTGCATGCCCTGACTGGGAATCGAACTGTGACCTTGATCCCTCATAGGTGGTTCATAGGTGGACGCTCAACCAGTGAGCCATGACGGCCAGGTTCCAGTATAATTTTAAATATGGACACCTAAGAGAAAGTTATAAAACTTCTACTTTCCTTCTATTAACTCCAATTTAAAAAATGGTCCTGTTGTTCTCACTCTGTGTTTACATGTATTGTGATGGTGGTGGCAAAGGACCTGTCGGGCAAGGCTCTACTATGCAAGTGCCTTGAAAAGTAAAAAGTGTGTTATTCAAACATCAAGCATCACCACTGTTCACTAGGTGCACTATTGCTTCTTTTAGAAATATGGCAACAATTTAATAGCATTAAAAGATAAACATGACCTCCTTCCCTTCCCCCAGCCGGCCCTGCCCCCTGGTCAAACTCCCAGATGAACTCGAGGTGGAAGTGACAATTTGCATACTATGCTTTTATTATATAGAAGGAGGACGATTGTTATACACCTCAAACTAATATAATGTTATGTGGTCAGTTGTACTCAATTAAACAAATAGTACTTACCTGCTTTATAGTATTAAAGTGAGATAGTGCCCGGGACTCCATTTAAAAAAAACACCCAGCAACCAGTGCCTGGCACAAATAAAGCACTCAAAGACGCTGACAATTATTAAACTAGAGGCCCAGTGCACACATTTCTGCAAGGATAGGGCCCCTAGAGGCTGCCAGCTGCCAGCCAGAGCTTCCCTTCACACTTGCCTTGGCCTGCTGCTGCCCACTCACCTGCTCCACCTTCCCACTCTGGTCCAGCTCTCGTGAAGGCCCATAGGGGCTGGCAGAGCCTCCATTGATGCCTGCTGCCAGTGCCACATCACCTTGGCCATGTTACTCACTGCCCCCTGGTGGTCAGTGCACATCTAACTACCGGTTGGTGGAACTCCTACCTCTAGGAACAATATGCATATTAGCCTTTTATTACATAGGAATTTGCAAAAATATCTACAGTGGAAGGGCACCTCTGTGTTCTATTGAGAACTACCACAAGCATACATCTCTCAGGATATCATGTCACCTTTTGTGTACTGTCAAAAAATCAGCGACATCAACTTATTATTAGTTTGGTTATCTCCTGGGCACTTATTAAATCCTTATTCTGTTAAGTCTTGTGCCAGGGAATTACCCCGTTTCCCTGAAAATAAGAGAGTGTCTTATATTAATTTTTTCTTCCAAAGTTGCGCTAGGTCTTATTTTCAGGGGATGTCTTATCTTTCCATGCACTAGGTCTTGTTTTCGGAGGATGTCTTATTTTCGGGGAAACATGGTAGTTGCTCTTAATCCAATACTTGATCATTGGGGGAAACAGTTTGCAGCGCTATGACATCTGAAGTATATGCCAGCGCTTCCAAAAGGTTATTGTGAGAAAATAACCAAGGACACCTTGGAAGGCACTCAAGTCTGGCAGGAAGGTGAGAAGGGCTGGGCATTGTGCGCTGGGATGTGCAGAAGGGCGCTCCCTGCCTCTGACTACCAGTTGGTGTTCAGGAGGCTCCAACATTCCTTCCTTCCTTCCTTCCTTCCTTCCTTCCTTCCTTCCTTCCTTCCTTCCTTCCTTCCTTCCTTCCTCCCTCCCTCCCTCCCTCCCTCCCTCCCTCCCTTCTTTCCTTCCTTCCTTCCTTTCTTTCTTTTTTAAAATATATTTTATTGATTTTTTGCCGAAACCGGTTTGGCTCAGTGGATAGAGCGTCGGCCTGGGGACTGAAATAATCAATAAAATATATTAAAAAAATAAAATAAAATAGAATAAAATATATTTTATTGATTTTTTATAGAGAGGGAGAGAGATAGAGAGTTAGAAACATCGATGACAGAGAAAGAGAGAGTCATCAATCAGCTGCCTCCTGCACAACCCCACTGGGGATGTGCCCACACCAAGGTACATGCCCTTGACCGGAATCAAACCCGGGACCTTTCAGTCCGCTGGCCGACGCTCTATCCGCTTAGCCAAACCAGCCCCGGCTCCGGCATTATTTCTAACCGGAGGCTGAACAGATGGAGGAGCTGCTCTCCTTTGGAGTGAAGTCACGTGCCCACAGGCGAAGGTGGCAGCCCAGAGCGCCCTTCCCCCTCTGGCCGAAGGGGCCTCACCTGGCACAGGTGTCCCCAGGTGGCCCAGCGCGGGGCCACCGGGCTCTCCTCCCGCTGGGAGCCGGAGAGGGGAGGGAGAGAGGGGAGGGGGGCAGGCAGGCTGCCGCTGGATCCGGAGCTCGCTCGCCCGGCACCCGGCCGAGGGCACCCCGCGGGGAGAGGCCGCGCCTCCTCCCGGAACTGGCCGGCGGCCGGCGGGATCGGCGGGAGCCGGGCGCCGCGCTCTGCGCCGGGGGCCATGGAGGTCCTGCCCGCGGGCGGACGCCCGGAGCCTGAGGCGGGGCCGGAGGACATCGCGGAGGAAGCGGTCCCCGCAGGGCCGCCGGCTGCCCCCCTGCGGGAGCCCCCGGATGCCTGGGAGGGCGAGGAGGACGCGGAGCCCGGCGAGCGGCGGGGCGGGCGCACCGGCCGCACGGCGTCCCTGGTGAGCGGGCTGCTCACCGAGCTGTACAGCTGCACCGAGGAGGAGGAGGCGGCGGCCGGCGGGGGCCGCGGGCCCGGGGGCCGCCCGCAGCGCCGCGACAGCCTCGACAGCCCCACCGAGGCCTCGGGCTCCGACGTGGTGCTGGGCGGGCGCGGCGACTCCCGGGAGCTGCAGGAGCTGCAGGAGCTGCGGGAGCGGCCGAGCCTGCGGCACCAGCGGCTGTACCTGCGGCAGAAAGGTGAGGCCGGGAGGGGGGTCTGCGGGGCGGGGGGCCTGCGGGGCGGGGGGCCACTCGGAGGGAGCGGCCGCAGCCCCCCACCTCCACCCCGCGCCCCGCCCTGCGCTCCCGGGCCCCGCGCTCACCTGTGCGCCCCCGGCCTGAACAGGTCCAGCGCGCAGGTGTTAAGTTCGGGGTGTCTCCATCGGTGTGTTGCCGGGGTCCACAGAGTCACGGAACACGACTAGACGTACTTCTTACCGCACCCCCCCCCCCCCCCGCCCGCCCGCCCGCCCGCCCGCATCCCCTTGGAGCCGCGGAGCGCAGCCCGGGTGTTGGCGTGGCAGCCGCGGTCCCCGCCCCGCGTGTCGGCGGAGGCTCCGCGGGGAGAGGCAGTTCGGGTTCTGGTGTCGCCGGAACAGCTGTTAGGACAGGTCTGGGGTTTCCGATAAGTGCACGCGACATAGGGCGCTGGGACCCGTGAGGCATCTGGGGGCTATTTTATTTTATTTTTTAGTTTAAGAAATCCGCCTCCCTGGCCACACTACTTGGGGATAGTGTTTGACCAGCGAGCCAGAATCATCCCATAATTCGGTTTCCAAGCAGAACGTGTGAATTCCGTTTCTACTGGAACGGCTGGTTTCAAGAAGCTGCACCGAGATGGGCTTTTTATTAGTGGAGGGACCCTAGTGTGTTGGCATTATCACTTGGAGGATGTTGACATTATCGGCTGGAGAGGTCATCTGAACATGGCCTTGGTTTTCAGGGCGTGAGGAGAATTTGGTGTTTCTTTTGTCATTAGACTCTAATGCTGTGTCCTAATTGAGATCTCTCTCCCCTACCCCCAGCTGTTAGTAAGTAGTTTGCCCTTCTGGCACTAACTCAGTTATTACAGTTGTCTTTATTAAAACAGATAGGTCAAGACTTCAATTTACAAAATGAAGTGAGATGTGGAAAACATGCTAAAACCACAGCATTTCTTGAATTCATGTCCTTGTGCTAATCTATCAGGGGAGAGGGGGAAAGAGAGGATGCATACTAGAATGATATCCTGTCTGCTCTAACTGAAAAGTCAGACTAGCTGGTGCTAGAAAACAAAAGAAAAGGAAAAAACATAACCAGAAAAGGAATAAATGTGTCTGCTTTCTCAAATCTATGTAAACAGCTTTCAGCTTCCTCTTTTGGCTTCCCAGTGAAGATATGTTTCCCAGCTGATTGTTACAAATGACTTCCACCTTCCTCCCGCTGCCTCAGACGTGGCTGGAGTTGTGCCACTTCGTTTTATACAATTATTTGGCTGCTCTCAGAGCGTCTGTTTATGCCTAGAGTTCCGTAGGGCAGTAGTTCTTTTAGAACCCAACAAAATCAATCTTGGAGAATCATGATTTGGCTTTTCATTACCGAGCAAATTAGGTGGATTAATAGTAATTACTTAGTAATTTCCTTTTGGAAGAGGAAATATGGCAAGCTAATTTTTAAAGAAGTAACACTACAGCTTTGCAAGTGGATTTCAAACAAGTGACCACTGTAATAATAATTCTTTTATTTAAATTCTTTATTGTTTAAAGTATTACATAAGTCTCCTTTTCCCTCCACTGATCAACTACCGGCCGCCCTCACACCCCAGCACATGCCTCACCTTCCTATCCCCCTTGTCTGTGTCCATTGGTTATGCTCATATTCATGCATGCAAGTCCTTTGGTTGATTTCTTACTCCCTCACCCCCTGCCTTCCCTCATATTTTGGACAGTCTGTTCAATGCTTCTGTGACTCTGGTTCTATTTTTGTTCATCAGTTTATGCTGTTCATTATATTCCACAAATGAGTGAGATCCTGTGATATTTATGTTTCTCTGACTGGCTTTTTCGCTTAGCATAATGCTCTCCAGTTCCATTCATGCTGTTGCAAATGGTAAGAGTTCTTTCTCTTTTACAGCAACATAGTATTCCATTGTGTAAATGTATAATAGTTTTCTATAGTAATCATTCTTAAGACCTGCAAGTAAGTGTTGCCCAGGTCTCAGTCTTATTGCATGGTTAGTTGCTTGTTAATCTTTTCTTGCAGTCAATTCTGTAGGATGAACAAGATACCATATTCTAATAGCTACACCTCCTCCTACTTTATCAATAAACACCATTAGAGTACTAAGAAAGAAATAATCAGGTGACGGAAACAGCTGTCTGCTTAATTTTACAGCTTATTAGGTTACCTATTTTGTTCTGTGTGTTTTTTTTTCAGGGTCAAAAAAAAAAAAAAAAGAATCTCTCAGCATAGTGCCTAGTAGGAAGTCTCATATAATGCATATAACCTGTGTATTAATTCTCTCATTTTTTTCTGTTGGAGATTTTGCTGTAGCATCGAGGTAGCACCTATTTTTTACATATTTAACATGTGTGGGTCCTTAATTAATTAATTAATTAATTAATTAATTTATTTTAAGAGTCAGGGTTTTGGTTTATTTATTTATTTTTTAATATATATTTTATTGATTTTTTACAGAGATGAAGAGAGAGGGATAGAGTTAGAAACATCGATGAGAGAGAGACATCGATCAGCTCCCTCCTGCACACCCCCCACTGGGGATGTGCCCGCAACCAAGGTACATGCTCCTGTCCGGAATCGATCCCGGGACCTTTCAGTCCGCAAGCCGACACTCTATCCACTGAGCCAAACCGGTTTCAGCTGTGTGGGTCCTTTATTTATTTGAGGCACCAAAATAGTTTCTCAGGAAATCTACACTCTTCTCAGTGTTTTCATTAAGGATGAACTTTGGAGTCAAATGTTTGAGCTGATATCCTGCTACTATTCCTTAACTAACTTGGGAACTCAGGCAAGCTATTTAACCTCTCTGTCTCATTTCTCTCACTTATAAGTAGGGATAATAATAATACCTACTTCACAGGACTGTACTGAGAATTATATAAGTTAATGTGTATAATGTGCTCAATAAGTGTTAGATATAACAATATTTATTATAGATACTGGGATTCCTTGGTAGGGAAATTGTCCATTGTTTGTCACTTGATGATCTTATTTTTTCCTATTTATTTAAAACTGTGTTAGGAGTTGTAGCTGATGCTGTGGGGCATACAAAGATAAAGAAGACTTTATTTCTGTCTTTGGGATGCTTGTATACCAGCAAATCATGATGTACATTTCCAAACTCAACCCTGAAGATTTTCCCATATTGGACACTACATATAATTCAGAGACACACAGAGATGTAGGTACCTTAAGAGTCACTGAAAAAAATGACTCTTTTGTGGAAGAAAGTATAATTTAAATGCAAGATGATAGTCCTACCCCTAGAAGAAAAAATTTTAAACATTCAAAGAAAGCCTATCTGCTCTCTCTGAAGGAACCTAAGAATGAAGAGCCTCTGACCTCCTCTGGTAGCTGGTTCTCATAGTTGATCATTCTTAGAACCCAAATAGTAAGTGAGCTCTTATTTCCCATGACATGCCACAGTGTTTGAACTCAGGGTGAGAGAAATAACTGGTCTGTGTTCTCTTCTTCATAGCCATTCCTTATTCTTATTTTAGTGCTATTTATGTTAATGTTTATAAAGAATATTCACATTTGTTTCTCAGAATAACCTAGAATCCTAAGCATACTTTGAGTCTTGGAGCACGACCTTGCCTAAGATCACACAGGTAGTTGGCTGGTCCATAGGAAGTTCGTAGTCACTGAAGGTCAAATAGCATTTTCCAAATGACGCGGTCAGCTATGACAGAGGTTAAAGCAACGCCCTGCACTTCTCTTATACAGACCCACAAAGTTCACTTCCTCTGACCTCTGAAGTATTTTTCTTACTTTGGAACATTTCTTTTGTTCTCTTCTAATCCTGTCTAGTTTCTCCAAATCATTTTCAACATGAGTAGATCCAACCCCCACAGAGGACCTCTACTGAGGGCCTAGCCAACGCCAAGCTGAGTGAAGGCTTTCCTGCCTGGCAGGCCACACTGTGATGACTGACGGTAATGTCAGGAGTGACAAACAGCACTCCCAAATTGTAATGATCAGTCACATAATGATTGTTGCCACTTCCAATTCCCAAGTCTTTTTTCACTTGTCGAAAACTGCTGTTGAGAATATTAGCTTTATGAATATATATAGAATTATCTTTAATTTATTCATTTACTTTCTGCACATTTGAAAAATCATACAGAGTCTCAGAGATAAAACATTGTACCTAATATTCAAGCTATTGGAAGGCGGAGTATTTAAAACAAAACCAGTATTTTCACATTTACTTGCATTAGAAAATGTGGCAGTATTATTTACTTTTGACTGATTATTTGTGCCGGGCCAGCTCAGCCAAGAGTTCGGTGAGCCTTACGGTGAGTGAGGGCGGTGAAGGATTGAAGAAAAGACAAAGAGAATAAGCTGGTCTTGTGGATCTCCTGTGCCTGGCTGAGGCCACAGAGAAGGATCCAGACTCCAAGCTCATGCTTTATTTTATTTTATGGTCAGAGGTAAACAAGGTAGTGGTTACCATAGTTACAGTGTTCTTGGTGGTTTGCCAACAGGTCAGTCCGAGGCTTAACCCTATAGCCGCTCCCTACAATTATTTACAAACAAAAGGTGAATACTTTAAAAAATATTTATCCGTGAGTGAAATAAGCCAGCCAATGAAAAAAAACAAACACTACATGATCTCACTCATTTATGAATAATAAGGAACATTATAAACTGATGAACAAAAAGATAGATATAGAGATAGTAAAGAAACGAACAGACTGTCAAATTACAGTGGGGAGGGTAGGGAGATTTGGGGAAGATAAGAGATCAACCCGAGGATTTGTATGCATGCATATAAGCATAACCAATGGACGAAAAACTCAGGGGAGGGGAGGAGGGCATGTATGGGGGTGGGAGGTGGGGTGGGGGATTGGTAAGGTATGTACACATATAATACCTTAATAAAAAAAAAAAAAAAAAAAAAAACGAGAAAAAAATATTTATTAGGCCCTGGCTGGTATGGATCAGGCCCTGGCTGGTTTGGCTCTGTGAATAGAGTGGACGGAAGGGCTGTGGGTTCTATTCTGGTCAAGGGCAGGCGCCTCAGGTCCTGGTCGGGGCCCATGTGGGAGACAAACAGTCGATGTGTCTCTCTCACATTGATGTTTTTCTCTCTATCTCTCCCCATCCTCCTTCCCTTTCACTCTCTTTAAAAATCAATGGAAAAATATCCGTCAGTGAGGACTAACAATGACAAAATATTGACCAGGTTTATCATTGATCAGGTTTTACAGACTCAAAAAGATTATTTTCTTGCGGCTTAGCCTCTAAGTATATTGACGATATCAAATACACACACCAATTTTCAGGCTAGGAAAGGAAAATTTGCAACCATAGCTAAATATGGTAAAAGTCAAGAGTCTTGCTTACATATCACAGGTAGATAAAATTTATTTTGCAGTGTTTGTCTCATTGACAGGGCAAGAAATGGATGAGTGAATTATTTGAGCAGGATATCTTAACTGAATACTGAGTGAGAACCCAGAATTACCTGCACAGATGTTCTAGAATCGAGATAATTATCTTATGATTAGTATCATGTTGGCATTTGTATTCCTCTCAGGGTGTTTATCGTTCTGTTTTAAATCTTCTTTTTGCATAGACACTAATGAACTGAAGACGATTCTCCGAGAGCTTAAGCACAGAATTGGCATTCAGTCGGCAAAGCTGCTCCGGCAGCTGAAGCAGAAAGATCGGCTTCTGCATAAGGTCCAGAGGAACTGCGACATCGTGACCGCCTGCTTGCAGGCCGTGTCACAGAAGAGAAGTAAGTGCTGGAGTGGGGTTAGCCCTTTGGCTACATGCGACTGGAATGGTAGTAAGCTGAGTCAATAGTAGCGTTTTTTTAATCTGTTGAAAAGTTTTAAATGGAAATTTATCCCCTCAGAACTAAGAACTAGGAATTAGTCCCCTCGCCCCCCAGTTGAAATGTTTGTTGCATGTCTAAAGTTACAAACTTAGTTTTCTTATTCTCAATTTGCAAGCAGCACTTCACTGTGACATTGATTATTTTTACATGATGCTAAACAATGACAAAAATCTTTATTCGAAAAACAGCACCAAATAGATACAACCTAAAAGGCATATCTTTGTTTTAGTATTCTCGTTGTGCTTAGTAAGTGGATTAAAAACTGATTTAAAAGGAGACTTTTGTAACAGGATCTTACCATTTGCTCTGAGACCTGAAAGGGACAAAATACTTTAACAAACCCATCTATAGGTAATCTGGTCATAGTTAAGAGATGCATGGTTTGTTAATTGAGTTAAAACTTGTTAAATTACTAATGCATGTCAAATACCAGATAAAAGCTTATGGATTAGTTTTATATTCTCCATGCAGTCGTTTTATGTTTTATTCTGCTAACGTTTCCCTGTTTTTGTTTTGTATTCTTTATTAACATGCAGCATGGCAGAACAGTATGTTCAGGTATGGTAAATACAGGCACCAACAAAGTGTTTTGCTAAAACACCTGTGGCAACTTTTTAGGTGCATGTGAAAGTTGCCTTTTCCTTGTTCCTTTACTCTGTCACATTTAATATGTAAAGTGACACCTCTTAGAGTTTTTTTTTTTTTTTTTAAATTCTAAATTAAGATATGTTTCTTTTTATAAAACAATTTTCAGGGCATGGGTAGTTTCAGATTACATTAATGGTTATATTCTATTCTTATGTTTATTATTGGAAGAAAGTACTATGTTTTCTTCCTTCTCTTTTATTATATCACTGTTTGTTATCCCCAAATTCTTCTTCTTGCTGTTTACTAAAGAAGGTTTCAACTTAATGTGTATTAAATACAATGATGCTAGATTATCATCCTATATAATACAAGGCTAATATGTAAATCGACTGAACTGCAGAACGACCACTTGCCATGATGCGCACTGACCACCGGGGGGCAGACACTCAATGCAGGAGCTGCCCCCTGGTGGTCAGTATGCTCCCACAGGGGGAGCGCCACTCAGCCAGAAGCTGGGCTCATGGCTGGCAAGCGCAGTGATGGTGGTGGGAGCCTTTTTTTACCTCTGTGGCAGTGCTAAGGGTGTCTGATTGATGGCAGGGAGCGGGCCCAAGCCGTCAGTTTGGACATCCCTTGAAGGCTCCTGGATTGCGAGAGGGCGTAAGCTGGGCTGAGGGACCCTCCCACCAAGTGCACTAATTTTGTGCACCGAACCTCTAGTAATGACATAATGGTCCACGTGAGAAGCAGGAATGTTGTTGAGTAGACTTTTTTTTTTTTTTTTTTAAGCATATATATTTTTATTGATTTCAGAGAGAGGAAGGGAGAAGGGGAGAGGGAGATAGAAACATCAGTGATGAGAGAGAATCATCGGCTTGGCTGCCTCCTGCACAACCCCCACGGGGGATGGAGCCCACAACCCAGGCTTGTGCCCTGACTGGGAATTGAACCATGATCTCTCGTGGTTTGTGGGCCAATGCTTAGCCACTGACAACATGGGACGGGTGTTGAGTAGACTGCTTTTGAATAGAGTTTTCTCCAGAGCCAGGAACTTGTCTGAAATAGCGAGAAAAGGAGGAGGAAATAGCTATGTAGATGTGTATATATCTATGTCTGTCTATAAAACATTGGCATGCATTATAGTATCTGATGTTTCTCCATGGATTCTGATTGATTCACAAGTGCCAAGTAGATATGTTATCATTTTCCTCTTTTATTTTAAGATACAAGTTTTGATTTTGATATTTCTCTTTTCACAATTGTGTTTTCATCTACCCATTATTGTTGCTTGTATCAAAAGTTAAAAGCACAAAGTGTTAAGTGCACTTTGTGGTAAGTGGAGTTTGGATGTGTGGGATAGCATAGGGGAGATGGAGCCAGTGTGAGGAGATGGAGAAGAATGTCTGGCTAGAACAGGACCATGGGCTGGTGATTACCAGGGACTGATAGCCATTTAGGATTTGAACCTTCCTGCTTGATGAAAGGACCAGCATTTATGTCTTTTTAGAAAAATGTGTCCATAAGCATCCGTTTAACTTGTAAATTAGTGAATGCACACTTTCCATTGTTGATTTAAGACATAATGGTGCATCAAAATGATCACTTTCAGCATATGATACTGCTTTATGATGTAGATAAACAGTGTTAGAAATTTGATTAGGTGGTTCTTTGAAATCCCTTTTAGATCTCCAGAGGTTAGATGTTTTGTGACTAAATGCTTCCTTTCGGTAGTTTCACTTTTTGCCTCTTTCCTCAAGTCCAATAATAACAATTAGAGTTCTGAAGAGTTGAGATTTTACTGTCACTCTGAACTTTCATTTTAGTAGTGATTGGCACTGATGCATTCAAATACATGTCGACTCATTTACATTTAACATGCAAAAATCCAGATAACCTTTCCCCCTCACATGGATTCAGTGCTTATAGTCCTTTCCATAAGTGACTTTCCTCCTTCCATAACCTACTTTGGAATACAACTCTTTTATTATTTATTAAAATGGGTTATTTCCTGTTGATGAGTTAAAGAGGTATAATAATTTTGAAATAATCATAAGTAAGTGTGGATTATGAACCAAAATGACTAGATCATTTTTATTTCTAACAGAGATGATGTGACTACTTAGACTTTATAGTTCCCTACACTAAGCCTTATGGTAGAATCCCTTTATTTTAAAATGGGTGGGAATAAGAAAAAGATCAAAATTTGCTTTATAGAAGAGCAGATTTCCCCTTTACATTTACTCATTCATCTAGGGATAATCATGGTATAACCAATTTAATATTAATAATAAAATCAATGCCCTCGCTGGTTTAGCTCAGTGGATAGAGTGTTGTCCAATGGACTGAAAGGTCCCTGCTGTGATTCCAGTTAAGGGCACATGCCCGAGTTGTGGGCTCAACTCCCAGTAGGGAGCAAGCAGGAAGCAGCCGATCAATGATGTTCTCTCACCATTGACATTTCTACCTCTTTCTCTCTCTCTTTCTCTCTCTCTGAAATCAAAAAAATATTAAAAAAATAAAATCAATAATAATAAGAATGGCAGCAGCTGAAACCATTCATTATATACTCGCTTTCTGCCAAAATGTTGTTTTTATCTTATAGCAATTCAAATAAATGTATGTATCTTTAGGCACATTGTGTTAGGAAACTGAGAGTCAGAAAATTTAATTTGCTAAAGTCTAGTAGATAAGTGGTTGAGATGGAATTTAAAGCTAGATACTTCAAAAATCTACTCTTCCTACCATAAATTGTGACAAGAGGGTTCTATTTCTAGCAATTAATTGATGCTTCTGTAATATTATTAGTACTAGAAGTCTGATACACGAAATACATGCAAGAGTAGGTCTTCCTTCTCCCGGCTGCCGGCATTGGCTTCCCTCTGGCACCCGGGACCCAGGCTTCCCTCGCAGCCCTGGCTTTGTCTGGAAGGACATCCAACAGGACATCTGGTCTAATTAGAATATTATACTTTTATTATTATAGATGGCTGTCACAATAAGAAATTTGTAACATGCATAGGACATAATACAATTTTCAGGTTTATGTATTCTGAATACGAGTCTTTGTCAGATATATGTGTTGCAAATACCTTTTCCATTGATTTTTTTTAGAGAGAGTGGAAGAGAGAGGTAAAGACAGAAATATCGATGTGAGAGAAACACAGCAATTGGTAGCCTCCTGCATCCCCTGACCAGGGCCTGGGCTGGGGACAAGCCTGCAACCAATGTACGTGCCCTTGACTAGAATTGAACCTGGGACCCTTTGGTCTGCAGGCTGATGCTCTATCTATTGGTCAAACCAGCTAGGGCTCTGCTGTTGCTTTCTCAAATTTCTTAATTTTTGAACAAGGCATCCATAAATTATGTAGCCAGTTAGGCTTTTATGGCTGGTACTTTTTCTATCCTGTTTAAGAAATCTTCTTTCAATAGCAAACTCATGAAGAATTTCTCCCACATTATTTTCTAGAAGCTTTATTGTTTTGTTTTCATATCTAGATCTAGATCCACCTGGATTGGATTCATTATGCTGTGTAACATGAAAGGACTCCTATTGCACTCTGTCCACATGGATATCTAATGGACCCAGCCCTGTTTATTGAAGAGACCATTCTTTTACCATTGCTCTGGGGAGCTATCTATCTGTCTATCTATAAAAGCCTGTTATGATGTGTTGACTGAACTACTGGTCGACCAGTCGCTATGACACACACTGACCACCAGGGGGCAGACATTCAATGCAGGAGTCTTCTAATTTATAAATATGGTATTTTAAAATTTATTTGAATATTTTACAGTTTTCTATGTAGAGGTCTTTAGTATATGTTTTACTAGATTTATTCTTAAGTAGCTCAGATTTCTTGATGCTCTTTTTAAATTGGTATCTTTTTAAAAATTAATGATCTGTTTCTAGTACATATAAATATAGTTGTTTTTGCATATTGACCTTATATCTAGTAATCTTTCTTTTTCTCTTTTTTTATTCTAATTATCTGTAAGTTATTTTGTATGTTTCTAAGTATATAATCTTCAACATCTGTGAGTAGTGTCATGCTGGGGGTCTTAATCCAGCATCTAAAAGAGAAAGTGCTGTATGTAAATTAATCAAGAGTCTAGAGACAAAACATAATTTTGAAAGGCATATTTGGGGGGCTAGAGGAGCTTGGCTAAAGAAACCAAATTCTCCCTTGTCTCAAGGACCCCTGTCTTTTTATTTACACAAATTGTTCTAAGGCAAAGTAGATATACACATAAAGGCCAGGGTTTAGTTTACAGAATCCATTGTCAGATTGGAAGAACTGCCTACAGCTGTT